TTACTTACCCTTTACTTTATTATTTATTTTTTTTATCTTCTTTTTTTATAATTAAAAGTTAAAATATTTTTTAGCTAAAAAAATAAAGTAAAGAAATAATTTTAATTACTTTTATATTATAAGGTACTTTAAAACCTTAATGCCTTAATTTTAATAATTAAACTTATTATTTTAAAAAAAAAATTTTATATTAATAATTATAAAACTTCCTTATTTTAATAACTTTAAAAACTTATTTAGCAAAATATTATAATTTTTAAATATTAAAAATATATAAAATTAATAAAACTTTACTTAAAAAGTAAATATTAATTTCTTTAAAAACCCTTTTAAAATAAATATTATTATAAATAAGATTTACTTAAATAATATTTAATAAATTTAAATCTTTAATTATTTATTATTTTTTAATATAAAATAAATAGCATTTAATAATAAGTTTATAAAGATAATATAAAAATACTTTTTAAATATTAATTTTTATTTTAAGTTAAAAAAATTAATTAAATTAATAAATTTAATAAAATAATATTAAGCCTTTTTTACCTTTAAATTCTTTAATATAAAAAAAATGCTTTATAAATATAAAGAATTAAAGACTTAGCATATTATAGCCCTTATAACTTAATAACTTTTTAACTTTTAAAATATTATATTTTTATTTAAAAACCCTTTATATTATAATTATATTTTATTTATAAAATATTAATAATATAAATTAATAAAGAATTATAAATTTATTATTATATTTATTTATATATTTAATTATTAAATAATAATAATTTTTAATAATATTAATAATTATTGCTTATTATAAAATAAGTTTATATTAAAAGATAAAAATAATAAAATAAATAAAAATATTAAAATACTTATTTATAAATATTTAATAATTACTTTAAAAAATAAAATATAAAAATTTAATAAAGAATGTATATTAAAATTGAAAGAAATTAATAAACTATCTTATAAATAATATATTATTAAGTTTATTAAAAGTTACTTTAAAAAGAATTAAGAAAAGAATAATTAAAAGGTATAAAATTAAATTAAAACTATTTTAATTAAAATTATATATCTTAAAATGCTTAAAGTTATTATTAGCATTATTATTTAAATATTTATTATTTAATTAAAGCTTAATAAAATTAATAAAGCTATTTAAATATTTATATTAATTTTTTTATTAAAATTAATAATATAAAAGTAATTAAAATAAGAAATAAGCTTTTATTATAAAGAAAGATTATTTAATAATAGTTATTTAAATTATAATATATTAAAATTACTATTAATTATAAGAAAGATATAAAGAAAATAATACCTTTAATATAAATTAATTTAATAACTTAATTTTAAATATTTAATATATAATAAAATATAAACTTTTATATAATTTAAAATTAATTAAGTTAAACATTAATTAAATAAGCTTTTAATTTAAATATTATATTATAAAATATTTTAAAATTAATAAAAAATGCTTACCTTAATATATATAAGGACTTTTTTTACTTATCTTTTTTAATAATAAATATAAATAAAACTTAAAGTATATTAATTAATTTAAAATAATTAAAATAATAATTAAGTTTACTTAAAAATAATTTAAAAAACTTATAAATAAATTAATTAAGTAATTAAATATAAAGCATAAAACTTAAAAGTAAAAGCTTTATAAAAAATAAAAGTAAAAGTAAATAAAGTTAATATATTATACTTAATATAATAATTAAAGAAAAATTAAATTTACTTTTTATTTTATAAAAATATTTAAATTTTTAATAATTATATTAATATTAATTATTAAATTAAACTTTAATAATTAAAAAAATATAATTAATAAATATATTATTAAGTAAATTTTTAAAATATTTAAAGCTTTTATAAAGAAATAAAAGTTATAATAAAATAAATAAATAAGAAATTAAAGGTAATAATAATAATTAAAATTATAATAAGATAAATTTTAAAACTTAAAGGCTTAATTAAAAATAGCAAGATTTTATTTTAATAATCTTTATAATACTTATTATAAAGTATTTAAAAAGAAGTATATTAATAAGGGTAAGAAAATATATAAGAAATAATATTGCATTATATTTTAGTTAATTATAAAAAGTTAGCTTTTATGCTTATTTTAAATATCTTTTTAAGAAATTAACTCTTTTCTTTTTTTATATATTTAATGCTTTAATTAAGCTTTTCTTATTTTTAAAATTTTTTAAAATACTTACCTTTTTTCTTTTTTAATTCCTTTTTATTCTTATTTTCCCTTTTTATTATATTAAAGCTCCTCCTTAAGTTATCCTTAAGAGGGTTTAATAAAACTTATCCCTTATTTATTTAAGTGGCTTGTTTTCATTATATATATACTTTAAAGGTAAGTATAACATAATATTTAATAGTTAAAGTAAATAATAAGAATATTACGGCATATTAATAAAAATAATATTATTATCCTTATAATCTTAATTATACTTAGCTAATATATAGCTTTTATAATTATTTAATATTAATATTTAATATATCCCTTTTATTTACTACTTAATATATTTATTAAAATGCTAAATTTATTTTAAATTAATTTTATTATTTATTTATTTACTTTAAATAAGTTTAATAATTTAATTATTTAAAAAACTTAACTTTATAATTTAGCTTATAAAATAATAAACGCCTTAAATAATTATAAATAATAAAATATATTAGCTTTTTGCATTAATGCATTTAATAATTATAACTTATTTTTAATTATTAAGTTAAACTAATTTAACCCTTTTATGCTTATTAATATATATAATTATTATTAATATAATAATTATACTTATTATAAAGTTAATTTCATTAAAATTATAAAAATCATTATTTATAATCTTATACTTAATTATTATATTATAAAGTAGTTTAAATTAATTTTTAATAATTTTTAAATCTTTATAAAGAGCCTTTTAATAATTATAGAAATAATTAAACTTAGTTTTAAGGATAAGTTATAAATTTATAAAGCATTAAGCTTAATACTTATTAATAAGTTTAGCATTATATAATGTTAATAAAAGGTTAATTATATTTTTTATATTAAAAAATTATAAGGGGAATTTTTAAGCATTTTATTTAATAATATATTAAATAAGCATTTATTTTTTAATTTAATTAAGTTTATATATATTAATGTATAATTCTTTATAAAAGCATTATTAATTTATTTTATAATAAAGTATAGTTTTAAGGATATAAGAAATCTTAATAGCTTAAGTTATAAGCAAAAGTTTTACATTATTTTTTTTAAAATTTTTAAATTACTTAAATAATTAGAAAAAAAAAATTTTAACTAAAGAATATATTAATAATTATTAATTTTTAATATATTAAATGTTTAAATAGGTAAATTAAAGCAAAATTAATATAAAAAATTAAGATATAATTAATATTAAAATAAAATCCCTTTATTAAAAGTTAATTACTTTAAATTTTAATATAACTACCTTTAATTACTTTAAATTAATTAAATTAATTAAAAATAAAAAATTAAAAATAATTAGCATTAATTAATGCTAACTTTTTATTTATTTATTAGCCTTAAGATAGTGCTAATATTAGCTAAAGTTAAGTAAAGTTGCGAAAATCCGCCACTTATTAATATCCGTCACTTATTAATAAACTACATTACCCTTATATTTAAGAAAAAAAATTAATTATTTATAATTATATTAATAACGTTATGAATTTAAACTTTAATATATAAATTCATAATTAATTAAAGAAAATATATTTATATTTAAAGACTAGAGGACAAGAATTGAGTTGTCAAGGTTGAGTTGAAGATAGGTGGTTAGAAAGAAGGGAAAGAGAAATTCGGGTGGCGTTGACAGGGGGGTGGCGGAAAGTGGACCCCCCAACTTAGCACCAACAGGCTTTCGACAAGCTTTTTTAGTGGGTTGCATCTCGGCGAGTCAATCCTACCGAACGGTTACATCCGAGCGATCCAGACTGCCAGGGGAAATTCTGCGGAAGAAGATCTTCAGGAATATTGAGTACGACTTGATTTGTGCCTGTGCAGCGTCTTTTCACAGATAGGAACTGACGATTGAGACATCTTGAGGCATGATATTGGTAAGTGAGCTTCCTCAAATCCCACGTTAACAAAGATCACGCTGCTGCAGTGCCTTCAACCTTTAACTCTAACAGCACACAGATGCCCCACACATGTCAGCGGCAGAACGGATTAGAGCTGCGGCATTATAGGCGCTGGGCTAGCTCAGTCTAGAAACGATGGCACAGAGGAAATAAGGGCGATCCCTGCAAGCGGGCTGGAGAAATTGGACTTGATCTAGAAAACATTGCTGCCAAGCCTTTTCAGGAAGCTCCCTCAACGGTTGTGGGACTGAGTCCTCTTCATTATCATTCGAGGGGTCTCCATCTATGCCGGGAATATGGGGAATTCGGTGTGCTGTCACGATGGGTATCGGCCTGTGCTCCTGAAATGGCAACCAGGTGTGCCCCGTCCAGTCTCTTTTTGGAAGTTAGGTAAACACAACTTTCTTTCCGACTCCACACTGCTGTCCAACCATACGGCATTTTCAAGCAGCATGTTAGTATTTCGCCGAGGCAAAAGCTTCCCTTGTTGTCCCTGGTCGTAAGATGTCTACTCCATCTGTATTGATTGTCAAATTGTAACCTGCCTATGTCGGTCAACTGTGACCTGCCTTTGTCAGTCTTTCGTCCACCATTATCTTCGTCATCAAATCACACCTACGATTAAGAGGATAGTCTGAGACGCGAGTCCCGAGTCGCGATTGATACTATCATGTAAATGTATAGAATGCTGAGATCTGGTGCCAAGTCGATTTCTATAAGAACTGGAAGCGGCTCCCATCTTGCCAAGAAGTTGACAGCTTCAGATCATCAGCCCTGAGATCCAAGTCGCCCTCTTGTCAAAGCCCCTGACCTTCTGCCTTGTGCTCTTCGTTGCCGCTTGTAGCAAAACTCCAGTCACCATGAAGTACTCAGCCGCCATCGCTGCCCTCGCCGGCATTGCCGCCGCTGCCAGGCGTCCCACCCGGGATGTCGTCCACCCTCAGCACGTCTCTGCCCCCAACATGAGGAACAACAGCTACCCTGAGTACTCCACCAACTGGTCCGGCTCCGTCCAGATCGGCAAGGGCTTCAACAAGGTCCAGGGCACCATCGTCGCCCCGAGGGCCACCGGTGGCAGCTCTGCCGCCGCTTCCGCCTGGGTCGGCATCGACGGCGACACCTGCAGCTCCGCCATCCTGCAGACCGGCATCTCCTTCTACGGAGACGGCTCCTATGATGCCTGGTACGAGTGGATCCCCGACTACTCGCACTCCTTCTCCAACTTCGCCATCAGCGAGGGCGACGAGATCTACATGGAGGTCGACGCCTCCTCCAAGACCGCCGGCGTCGCCACCCTCGAGAACCTGACCACCGGCCAGAAGGTCACCCACTCCTTCAGCCGCCCTCCCTCCACCCTCTGCGAGACCAACGCTGAGTGGATCGTCGAGGACTTTGAGTCTGGCGGCAGCCTCATCCCCTTCGCCAACTTCGGCAAGGTCACCTTCACCGATGCCTCCGCCTCCGGCTCGGCTGGCACCGTCACCCCTCGTGGCGGCACTATCATCGATATCCAGGACTCTAACGGCAACGTCCTGACCAACTGCGCCACCTCTGGCAACGACCTCAGCTGCACCTACACTGGTTAATTTGATCGTTAGCTCGTACTAGTGGAACACTCATGGGGGTTTTGGTCTGTCCTGGTTGGGAAGGGACTTGGCGGTAGGACAGAGGCTATACAAGAGGAGCTTCAACATTCATGTACATATGACTATGTGAAGGGCAAAAATCGGCTCAGCGTATGGCCCGTATTCTGACCCTTATACTTGGATAATGCTACTCATATATTTGGATCACGCGCATCGCACGCTTGTCAATATTCGCAACGAAACGAGGAATTCTGTTCCTTGTCATGGGGTAGGTCAGGCTTTTCACTGCCTAGTTGCAGATAATGGATCTCACTGTTTATCTCTACCGGAATACATCCGGGCCCAACTCAAGAACGACCCATGAATATCCACAAGTTGTGGCATTGTGATTAATTCCACGAAAAAGGGCTGATTTTCCACAATACTCAGTAACTCTTACTGGTGAAAACACTCAAGTCAGTAGTCAAAACCTCGTCATGGAAATTCACTGAAATTTGCATAACGGGACAACTAATCATGTTGCTATCCGAAATAGTCATAAAATTGTAAGCTAAGTAATTTTCACTGAGTTTTGTCGATGAATCCGGATGCAGCGGAAATAGAGGTCCAAAGAATGAGTCCATAAATCCACAACGCAGGCCCGTCTCCCCTGGTCCAGAATCTGCGCTTCCAGACACCGTGATTCGCAAGAAATTTCCCTTCCCCGCCAAGATATATGTACATATATCTATGATTCGCTCCGCCACCCTTAACTTAGCATTTGCTGTTCTCGCTGCAGCCGCAGTTGGGGGCGCAGCCCAGGACGCAAACACCGACTCCGATCGGGTTGAGGGCAAAGCCGTTCTGGCAGTTCCTCTGGCACGCGACGTTGCATTTGCAGTCACAGCGCTTCTCGAGGAGGAGAGCGTCCTCGGAGACGGGGGTGGTTGCTGGGGCACCTAGAGCCTCGCCGGTGAGGACAGCAAGGAGGAGGGCGGTGATGCTGATGGAGAATTGCATGTTGGGCAGTGATCGAGAACCTGGGAGGCACTTGGTATTGACTGGTGCTTTTTGAAGATGAGAGTGGAGAGGAAAGAACAGCGCAATTTTCTTCTCTTGATAAATGGATCGGCTTTTCCTGAGTGCTTGAGCTTGAGATTGGGTGGTTGAGGAGGTACACAGATATTTAACTTCGTACGACCGTGATGGCAAGCTTTTATACCCAAAAACCTGGTGCCAGTCTCAGGCAGCCTGAGATTTGCGACACGATGTATGTTGCACTGCGGAACGTCAGCGTCGTCTGTTTGTGACCGCCATCGAGATGCCCAACATCGCGACAACCTGTTGGTGAGAAGATAGAGGGCAAAATATTACTTGACGGGCATCCTTCATTACTACCCTGAACTATTTCCAATAGACCTCGTCCAGATTCTCTGGTGTTCTACTGTTCGTTCAAAGGCCAGAGGATCGCCTCGTCCATCTGTTGGTTTAGTTAGCTTAGGAGGCTCATACCGCCTTTTCTGAACATTCCTTGATGTAGCAGTGTTTTCCAACCTTTGAACCAACGCATCACTAAGCCACGCCTGGATCGCACGCAATTCCTTCGCATCTTTTACCCAAAGCGGTTCTGCATGTCTTTCGTCCTCGAAAGGGAAAAACCAGGGCGTTCCATAGGGCGGACACTCCGGAGCCAGTGCCGTAAACCAGCATAATGCCACATGTGAATATCGTAGGCGGTACGCTTGGAGCTCCGGACTTTACCGTCGATCTACCTGATGCAGAATCCCTTTGGAAATCCGCCAAAATCACTTCTTCTGTAGATCTAATAGGACACTGCATGTTGTTGCAATCACCTTGTTGATGTTGGGGGCTGGCTGAGCAGTACAAACAGCCTTAGCTGTATCAAGTTTACCCAGGGGATCTCTACCATTGTGATTTCGAATCAATTATTCTGTAGGAACAACAACCCACATAATGCATGCAAAGTCTGTCAGTCTCGCCCGGAATCTGGCCAGGCGAGTTGGTACAATATCAAGTCAACTGACTAGCATTATTAGCGCGGCCATGTCATAGGCAATCGAGGGCATTGCAACATGGCATGGCCAACAGTCCAGCTCTTGAGGGGTTGCTTGTTCGGCACCCCGGCAAGCATGCTAAGCTTTTTTGCCAAGTCGATCACATCTGCCAGACGTTCAGCTAAGCTTTTTGACGAAAGATTAGGGTTCTGCTAATTCCTTCGTTGGTTTCAGTGTCTTGAACACAAGAAACCAGGGACGGACCCCTGGTCGCCGGGCGAGGTGTGGGGGTCGGTCAAACGTTGCATTTACGCGGGCTGATGAAGGTTGGGCTCGTCCAAGACGGCGGGGGAGAAAGTACGGATTGAGGGTCGTAGTGAATATGTTATTCCTTGATGTTTATTCGTCGCCCGAGTTGCTGTTGGTTTTACTCCTGCCATTCATGGGCTGAATCCTTTGCTTCTCAGGGCTGAGTCTGATCCGAGCCTCAGATCAAGCGATGCTTTACTCCAGGGATCCATGAAAGGCTGGTGCGCCTAAATTTGTTTCTGTACTCTTATATGCAATCAAAAGTATCAAAAAGACGCTAAAGTTGCGCACTTCACCCCCCCCCCCCTTTTTCCTCAATTTCCTCTTTTTTAAATTACTTTTAACATTTATATACCTAATATATATCTAAAAACCAAAATAAGAGTAGTTTTATAATAAGAAAAGAAAGCGCTATTATATGAGATAAATTTTAATTAGATTTAAGCGAGTTTAAAAAACTTGAAAATTAACTTATATGAAAAATAAGGGGATGTGAACTGAACGGACCCACTTTTCTTGATACTTTTGATTGCATATGAGAGTACTACGCCCCTTACGTACACTGATCAACCAGGTCGGCCCGACAAACTCCAAAACGTCAGTGACTGACCCGCTCACATGGTCAGATGATGCGCCGCTGAGCCTCTCGAATCCCTCGGACCGTCAACGAATCAGCTTTTGGAAGCGGATTTTAGGCAACGTCGTACAGAATCCTACATCATCTTGGGTGTTTGCATTGGCTACATCATACCTTTCTGCACACGCTGCTGATTACCAGCATTTCACCTGAACCGAACAAATCTCTCTTAACCCGGTCAGTCACTGCACAGCTTTGCCTGTCACTTCTTACCTCGCAAACTCGACTCACAGACTGGACTAGAGACCTAACTGTCAAGCTCCACTTCTAGACTCCACTCGTAAGCTCCACTTCTAGACTTGCCTCGCAAACTTGACCCACACACTTAACCCGCAGACTCGACTCTACTAGCCAAGATGACCGCTCGAGACTCCACCGACAATGGCCAGGAAAGCAAGAAGTCCCTCTACCAGCGCTACAAGGACGCGAAAGCCAGCAAGCCCATCCCCGAGCAAGACCTGAAGAAGTACACGGGCATGACCAGCGACGAGTTGAAGGACTGGGCCAAGGACAGGGACGGCGTCGCGGGCAACCAGGCCGCGGGAAAGATCAACGCCGGACCCGCGAGTGGTTTTGCTGGCTACGAAGCTGCTCACGGCGTTGGTGGTTGGGGACCGGATGCCAAGGGCGAGGCAAAGTTCCCCCCACAGCAGTCCAAGGAATCTAAAGAGTAAGATGGAGAGGACTGGGACATTCTTGCTGTGGTTTTCTTGGAATGGACCTGACAGTTGGTCCGCCGGCCCTGTGGAGGTTTGAGGTGTCACCACATGGGCAGTCTAAAGATACAAGATGGGTACGGACGTCTTGGGGAAGGTCTACCTTGCAGATGTGCTTTCACTACGCATCGAGGATCAAATATCAAAAGAGCCTTTGCCTGATTACCTGTGCACGTGATTATTACAGTACAATCCGAGGGACACCTTCTTACCTCGTGAGCTACCTGAACGAGTTCCCCATCTGGTTGATGAGCCACGCATTGTATTAGAGGCTAAACATGAGTCACAGGGAATGAAAACAGGCGAACCATTTCTGCCGTCGACAAAGACTGAGATCCTGTAGCCTGACGGCCCAACCGAAGCAGTCTTCAATTCGAGTTGTGCGACCTTTCTGGAAGCAATCCCACAATAATGGACAGCTCGACGCTAACAACTCTTATCAACCAGTAAACGATTCCTGCGCCCGCGGCTTTGTACCTTGCCCCGGCAGGGCAAGCTGTGACCTGTTGCAATGGTCGCCTGCTGCGTCTCCTCCACCAGACTCCTACCAGGGGGAGGGGGGGGTTTTGTTAATATCGCAGCACTATATCAATGGAATAGCGATATAATAGTGATATGCAATCAAGGGTTTAACATGCTTTTTTTATGTATACATTGCATTATTTACACGTTATTAATATGTAAACATTCCTGATATTTTATGATATAATATTAACCCTAATATGATATTAACTGATGCAGTATGCCCCTGAAGCCTAGCGTGGTAGGCTTATTATGCCCTTAATAAGCCTGTAAAAGAGCCCCCTGGGCAACCAGTGGGTCCCTCTCCCTTTTGGCGCAGCGGAAGATTTCGCGACTGCATTATTAACTTTTAATATAGGGGTAAAAAAAACCTCTTTTTTTATCCCTAACTTAATTATTTATTTATTCTTTATTAGCTTAATTATTTATTATAGGAGGATTTATATAATTATAAAAATATTTAAAAATAGAAATAGGCTTGGAGTTAATAAGGTTTAAACCAAAGCTCTTAACATAGAAAATGGCTAATATATATTAATATAATGTCCTTATTAATATGGAGTTAAGATTAAAATAATTTAGAGCTTTAATATATATTATTTTTAACAGCATTTTAATAGCATATTGCTAGTATTTCATTACAATTTTAAAACTCTGATTAAATATCAAAACATGATTGTATTGCGTGACCTAAACAAAGACTTTAATGGGAACAAAGGTTTGAAATTTAATGTCCCCCGTGAATTTAAGGTAAATTCGCAGGGAATTTCTTTATCTAAGTATATATATAGTAAATTTACCGTAAAACCATATATTTATAGTAAATTTACCGTAAATATATTATAAATTTATAAATACTTATAAATTTATAATAAATTTATTATAAATTTATCATAACCTATTTATATTATATTAAATTCCCCCTTATAAATAATTTACTTTTAAGCATAATCTTCTCACGATATTAATAAGTAATATAAATTTAAGTAAATTTAAAAAATAATAATAAATAGGGAGTTTAAACTTTAAAAGCTACCTTAATAATAATGAAAGATAGCAAAGAAAATATAAAAGTCCTTAATAAGGTATTTTAACTATTATTATAAACTTTAAATATTAAAGAAAAATAATTATATAAGTATATTTATAATTTAGCTAAGATATTTAATATAATAAAAGTAATTAATAATAATGCTAAAAGGTTTTTCTTATAAATAATATAATAAGCTAACTCTTATTTCTAAGTAAATAGCAAAATATACTTTAATTTAATATATTAATAAAACCTAATTTATTTTTATTATACTTAATAATAGCAAAGCGAATTACGCAAGATAGGTTTATTAAAATAATTAATAATAAAATAATTAAGCTAAAAATATATATAAGTAGCGCTATAATATAAAGGATATAATAGCTAAATATAGCAAGGTTTTAAGTTTAATTTATCTTTATAACATTATAATAAGAGTTTTAATTATTATTATAAATTTATTAAGCATTATCCTTAAGATAAAATAAATAAAATAATAAGTATAGTTATATACCTATAAAGCAAGTTAAGCTATATATATAAATATTATAATTATTAATATATTTTACTTTTATAATATTCCTTTATATTAATATAAAATCATTAATTTATAAATTAATTAGCATATTAATCATTAAAAAAAAAAATTAAATTATTTTTATTTATAATAAACCCTTTTAAGATAAAATAAAATAAAAATAATATTATTTCTTCTTAATTCTTATTATAATAAAATATAAGTATAATTATATAATTGCAAGATCTTTAGCATTTAGTTTTGCTTAATTAATATTGGCAACATTGTTATTACTATAATTATTATTAATGGTTTCTTAAATTGCATTAATTACGTTATTAGCGATATTAGCGGCAATTAAATTAACCTTATTATTAATTAATGCATAGCACTTTATTATGCTATGGATTTTAATATAATTAATTAAGCTAATTATATAATTATATATAATATCTTAGTTAATAATAATTAAAGAGTTATTAAACTTAGCCTTTTAAGCATAAATAGTAATTAAGTAGTTAATTTAATTATTTTTATTATAATAAATCTTAATAACGTTAAAGTTTTAATTTATATATAATAATTTATATAAAATAAAGCTAATAAGGATATAATTAGTTTTATTATTTAAGTTAGCAAAGTATAAAATATTAACGGCCTTATATAAATTAATAAAGAAAATATATAAAATTAAAGTTATAATAATATACTTATTATAAATAAAGATAATAATAATGCATTAATTATTAATATTAATTATATTATTATATTAAATAAAATAGCTATTAAGGAAGTTAATAATAATAAAATAATATAAATTAAACTTAAAGTTAATAATCTTTTTAAACTTACTTATAAATATAATAATATTTATATAAAAGTTCTTAATTTTAAAAAATATAATAATAATAGCTAGGTTTGTCTTTTTAAATTAAGTAGCATTAGCCTTTTTTTTAATTAAAAATATAAATAAGTTATTAAGATTAAACTTTAAAGTAATTAAATAAATAAGCTTAATATTATTTTTATTATTATTAAAAAGATTAATAATTACCTTATATTTATAATTAAGGGTAAATAAGCTAAGGCTAAGGTTAAGATAATAAAGGATATTAATAAAGAATTAAGGCTTTTAAGCCTTATTAAATAATTAATTAATCTTAATAGCTAACGTTAAAATAGTAGCCTTATTAATTTTAGCGTTAATAATTTACTTAGCTAAGTATATGCTTAAGTTCTTAGTTATATAAGTAAGGATAGCTATAATAAAAATAATGGCGATAGCTTTTTTATTAATAATTAAAATTTCCTTATCTTAATAAATAAATTAATTATATAGGTTATAAGCTTAGTTTTTAAAAGGTATATTATATTAATAATTTTATAATATACCTTAATAATAAATATTAAGGGATGGGTTATATAAGTATAGGCTTAATAAGTTATTATAATAATTATAAGCAAGGGAGTTAGTTATATGCTTTTACTTATCTTTCTTTATTAATCTTAAGTCCTTTAATATTTATTTACCTTTTTATATAATATTATAAAGGTTTTAACTATAATATAATAAGCTGTTATAATTAATTTAATAAGGGATAAGGTATTAATTAATAAATAATTTAGCTTATACCTTAATAATAAAGTATTTAATGAAATAATTAAGTAAAAGGTTATAAGGAATAAAGATATTATATTTAATATTATAATTAAGAAGGTTATTATATTCCTTCTTATAAAGAGTTTATTAAAAAGCCTTATAATTGCCTTAATAATAAGCAAGTAAATTATTATAGCTGTTATGAGCTAGCCCTAAAGGGGCTATAGGCTGGCTAGCGCCTTCTCCCATAAGCTGCAAAGCAGCAACCTTTTAATTAAGCTAAAAGGTATATAATAATCTAAGCTTCCTTAAATTATTTAGCTATATTATATAAGGCTTGGGTAATAGCTTAAGCCCATTATATAGCTCCTTCCTTTAAGGCTTCCTCCTTATATATAGTGGTATAATTACCCCTAAGGCTTACTTGCAATATTACCTTTTAAGCCAGGGTTCTTCTTTATAAAAGGGGTGCCTGCATTTACTTGCGGTAAATATAACTTAAACCCTTAATCTTAAAGCTTGGGTTATTTATTATAAGCTAGCCCTAAAGGAGCTATAAGCTAGCTAGCGCCTTCTCCTATAAGCTGCAAAGTAGTAACCTTTTAATTAAGCCAAAAGGTATATAATAATTCAAGCTCCCTTGAATTATCTAGCCACACTATATAAGGCTTGGGCAATAGCTTAAGCTCATTACAATAGCAAGTTATAATAATATATATATAAAGGGATATATATATTTCTTTGCTATATAAATAAGCTATTTAATAATAGTTAATTATTAATAACTTGCTAATCTTGCATAACTTAGCTATAAGGTAATAATATTTAAATATATAACTTTATTATAAGTATATTATGTTAAGGTTTTAGCTAGTTAAGTATAGGATTATATAAAAATTTAATATAATGGGATTATTAATTTTAATAAGTTTATAATTATAGCAGCATTAATTTACTATAAATAAATAACATTATAAAATAATAAGATTAATAATAACTTTTAAGATAATATAATAATAATTAATTAATAAAATAATTAGCTAAATTTAATAATAAATAATATTAATAAAATCTAAGAGGATATATTATGAAATTATAAATAATTAAAGTAATATAATTAGGAGGGTTAATTAAATACATTAATTTATTATAAATTTATAATAAATTATTTATATTTAGGTAGTTGCCCTTTAAGTAGCTTATATATTGCTTTAATATAATAAAGCTATGGCAATAGGGTTATTATTAATCTTCCTTTTTAATAGCTTTTCTTACTTAATAAGCAA